TGTGTGTGTGTGTGTGTGTGTGTGTGTGTGTGTGTGTGTGTGTGTGTGTGTGTGTCTGTGTGTGTGTGTGTGTGTGTGTGTGTGTGTGTGTGTGTGTGTGTGTGTGCATGTAGCTGGTTTAAGTAAAACTGAGATACGTAAATGTATCTGCAAAATAAATAAATAAACATTTAATTGTAAGATGTAAATTTAGAATTTCAAGAAAAAAGAAAATGTAGAATTGTGAGATGTAAAGTCAGAATTAAAAAAAGTCTTACATTTTATTTTAAAAACCCTGTAGAGAGACACACAATGTGTGTATTTGTCAAAGAAGGATACCAGCTGTGACTGCACGCATATAGCTGAAACACACACTGAATATCTATATGAACTGATCCTCCAGAGTAAACCAACATCTGACGTGTCCATCATGAATGAGGTTTTTATCTTCGGAATCATTCGAATCTAAGCGTCGAAGGCTTCGAGCGCATTTGGAATCATTCATCATGGACGTTTTGCTGGATCTTGTTTGTGGTTTGTGACACAAAGAACAATTGAGTGCGATGTTAAATGTGTCTCTCTTCATGTTTCCAGAGATGTAGGCCAGCGTGTGGGATGGAGACGAGCGCAGGAATCCTGCTGAATGTAGGTCAGGCGTCAGTATCTCTAGTGAAGCGTCTGTAGAGCTCCAACCCTCCGCCTGCCACAATATGATCAATACACACTTGCATTAGACTCAACATCTCATGATGTGTAGCTAAACAAGCTGCTTGTCAGGTCGAACAAAAGCATGATGGTCTGCAGTTAATGAGCCGCCTTGACTTCTGACTGGCCACAGAGCGCAGATATGAGCTCATCTAATTAACACAGAAACATCTGAGATCTAAACAGAACACAATTAGTGTCATCACTGACGTATGGAAGCTTATTTACACCACTGAATAAAAAGGTTAAACTATTACACTTTTTATCTCAATTCTGACTTTTTTTATTTTCAGAATTCTTAATTTATATCTCACAATTCAGACTTTATTACTTTTTCTATTTTATTTAATTTTTATATACTCATAGTAAACTGAATTCTGAGGAAAAAATATATAATTATGAGGTGTAAACTTTTAGAATTGTGATGTAAAATTGAAAAAAATAAAAATAAAAAAAATTAGAAATGCATGATTTGCACAAAAGTAAATGTAAACTCAGAATTCAGTGGGAAAAAGTCAGAATTGCGATATGCAAACTTAAAAACTAAATTCAGAATTGCGAGATGTAAAATTGTAATGAATAAATAAATTAATAAATGAATGCATTAATTAATTGAATTTAAAAAGTTAGAACTGCATAATGTAAACTTGCAAGAAAAAAGTCAGAATTGCGAAATGTAAAATTGCAAAAATAAACTAAATCAATTAAATTAAATAAAAAATTTGAATTGCATGATGTAAACTTGCACAAAAAAAGTAAGAATTGCAAGATATAAACTGAGTAAAATTGTAAAAAAAAAAAAAAAAAAATTTATTAAAATAAATTAAAGAAATTGAAATGCATGATGTAAATTTGCACAAAAGTAAAAATGCCTAAATGTAAACTCATAATTCTGAGGGAAAAAGTTGGAATTGGGAGATGTAAACTTGAACAGAAGTCGGAATTACATGATGTGAAATCAGAATTCTGTGGAAAAATTGTGAGATAAAAAGTTGCAATTTATATATTTTTTCAAAGTTGTCTTTTTTATATTTATATTTAGTGGTGGAAACAAGCTTTCATGCTGATGGAAACATATGCTGATCTTAAAGCGTCTTTCATTATTTGATCTGGATGGACGTTTGCGTTCATATGTGATGAGCTTGAATCTGTCAAGTTTTTAGTGTTGTTATTAGTTTCCTTTTTGGTGAAGTGAATGTAAACCATATATCCTCTCATGTGCCATACACTGTTAATGCTCTATATAACAGTTATCTGACCTGAACTGTGGGTATTTTCCCCTGCATCAGACTTTGGACTGGTTTCACTTCACGATTAAAACGTTAACCTGAAATAACTGGCCTGCTGTCGATTACAGGAAAGACGCAGCGAGCTGCAGATGCCACACGAGATGTTTGCTCAAGAGCTTCTCTGCTACTTCAGGGAGAATATTTTTAAGGTCTTCTCGAGCGTTCACACACATGATATATTCTGACATGACTGTGAAGACGAGGACGTTTGATGTGAAGATGGAAACATGTGCTTCAGTGCTCTTAAAGTTGGTTTGCTGTGTGTATCATGTAGAATCTGTCTATAAACCAGGCGTTTTCCACCGGTTTGCACACACACACACACACACACACTCTCTTAGCTGTCCATCGTGTTCGATGATGACGCTTGCTCCAGAGATGGGAGTGGGAAGGGGGTGGGTTCAGCGATGTTGCCGCTGGTGCCACTTCTCGTGGGCGTCGAGTCCGATCCTTGAGCCGCTCGCTCTTCCGCAGATGGAGCAAGGGAAACCAGATACCAGGGGGGTACCAGCCGCCCTCTGGTGTCTCTTAGTGCGTCTCTCGGATCGTCGGTCTTGGTTGGTTTGATGTATTTGAGAGACTGCAGTGGCACAGGTGACCTGCCAGGCTGACCTGTCAAGTGCCAGAGATTCAAGCTGCGTGAGGGGAATGTTCGCTCGCTTTAGGAGGTCCCTGGTATAATCCTTAAAGCACAGTTTTTGCCCTCCAGCAGAGCGCTTTGCGCCCATTAGTTGACCGTAGAGGACTTGGCGGGGCAGGCGATGTTCAAGCATGCGTATGGTGTGCCCTAGCCAACGCAGATGTTTTTGGGCCACTGCTGCTTCCATGCAGATTGAGTCAGTGTTGCTGAGGATGACTGTGTGGGGAATTCGAGCTTCCCAGGACAAATTGAGGATCTTCTGTAGGCAGCGGATATGGAAGGCCTCTAGGTTAATAATGTGCTGGCGGTATGGGGTCCATGACTCCGCCCCATAAAGCAGAGTGGAGAGACATACCGCATTGTAAACAGTGACCTTGGTACTGATATTCAGGTTACTGATATTCTTGCTTCACACCAACGTTTACCTCGAAAGACTCAGACTGGAGTTCTCCCGTGAGTATTCTGGCTTGCATCCCATCATGCAGCTGCTGTAGGATGCTGAGAAACTTGGGTGGTACCCCAAGTTTGGAGAGGTTTCTCCAGAGCAGCTCAAGGTTGATGGTGTCAAAAGCTTTGCTGAGGTCGATGAAGGCTACGTGAAGGTCTTTGTGCTGCTCTCGACTCTTCTCCAGCAGCTGCCTCAAGACAAAAACCATGTCTGTCGTGGATCTGGACTTCCGGAAGCCACACTGAGTTTCCGGAAGCACAGCTTCCGAGATGTGCTCGACCAATCTGCTGAGCATGATCTTGGCCAGGACTTTCCCTGCGATGGAGAGGAGAGATATCCCGCGGCTGTTGCCGCAGACTGCTCTGTCTCCTTTCTGCTTGTAAATGACCACGATGTTAGCATCCTTCCAGTCCTGTGGAAGGGACCCATGTTCCCAGATGTTTTGGATCAGGAGATGGAGACGGTGCGTGAGGCTGTATCCTCCGTGTTTGAAAACCTCTGCAGGGATTCCGTCGGGTCCAACACATTTGTTGTTCTTCAGACCTGCAATGGCTTGCCAGAGTAAAGTGGTGGGGTGTCCAGGTGCATGGTTGGTGGCAGGTCTGGCAGATTATCCAGGATATGTGGATCAGCAGGGTTGGTGTGGTTAAAGAGACTCTCAAAATAATTTGCCCAACGTGCAAGAATCTCGTGGCAGTCCTTGAAAAGCGTGGACCCGTCAGCTGATCGAACTGGGGCGATCGCCCCTTTCCTGGGGCTATACAGTGCTTTCAAGGCATCTTAAAAGCCTTGAGTGCTATTGCAGTCTGTCAGGTTCTGAATTTCTTGTGACTTTTTCACCCACCAGGTGTTCTCCATAGTCTGGAGGGCTCGCTGGGTTTCTGCTCTTGCAGCAGTGAAGGAGGTTATAAGGGTGGAAGATCCAGGGCAGGACAAGAGAGCTTTGTGGGCTTCATGCTTGGTTTTTAAGAGTGACTGTATCTCGGCTGAGTTGCAGTCGAACCAGTCCTGGTGATGTTTCCTTAATTGGCCGAGCACCTCTAAGGTTGCATTATAAATAGCCTGGCGTAAAGCTGGCCAGTCTGCTGATTCTTCTGGGATCTTGCTGAGGTTTTCAGCAAGGAACCATCGGAGGTTGTCTTTGGTGGTGTGGTTGTTCAGCACTGTGCAGTTGAGTTTCTTGTATGAGGCTGTCCTCGGACTATGGGGTTGAATGCTCATGAGTAGATTGGATCTGACCATGAGGTGGTCAGTCCAGCACTCAGCTCCTCTCATAACACGGGTGGTGAGGACATCCTGTCTATCCTTTTGACGGACAATCATGTAGTCAAGGAGGTGCCAATGTTTTGAGCGTGGGTGCTGCCAGGTGGTCTTAAACCTGTTCTTCATCTGGAAAATAGCGTTAGTAATGACCAGCTGGTGCTCTGCACAGAGAGAGAGGAGTCTGAGCCCATTATGGTTCATTTTCCCCACACCATGCTGGCCGATGACTTTACTCCATACCAGGTGCTCCGTACCCACTCTAGCATTGAAATCTCCCATGAGTATGAGCCTGTCCGTAGCCGGGGTTTTCTGTAGGATGGCATCAAGAGCTCTATAGAAATCCTCTTTGATGTTATGCTCGGCATCAAGAGTTGATGAGAGTGGCGAAGCGTTAAGGGACCAGTTACCATGTGTGCCACGAGGAGGTGTGTACGAGATCTTGGCAGTGGAGAGGCTATGTACCAGCTGAGGAAACTTACACACTCGGCTCCTCTTTTTGCCCCTGAAGAACAAAGTGCTATCTGGTGGCATCAGCTGAAAGCAGAAAGTGATGCATGCTGCTAACTACAAGCACTACTACTCCAACACTGCTGCACTGACGCATCACACGCCCTTGTGCACAAAACACACACACACTACACACACACACACACACACTCACACACACACACACACGCACACACGCACACATGCACACATGCACACACACACACAACACAGATACACGCACACACACACACACACACACACACACACACACACTCCTGCAAAGCAGAGGCGTTTGTGCAACACATCTCTGTCCTAGATAGATCTTTGTGGTTTTCCAGGTTGAGCAGCTCTATCTCTTCATGGGAAGATAAAACGCCTCCTGCATAAACATGTTGAGATGCTAGAGAAGCACCTGCTGCTCTTTTATTTACCGACTGCAAAACACTGTTTGATGCAAATTCACCAATTTCCTCACTAGTGAACAAAAGGTAGAAGAGAGATGACTGCTCAGAGATCACACAGCAGCGTTCATTATCACTGTGTGTTTGGCAGGATTTCTGGGATGCGTTGTGGTCGTGGAGGGACGTGTGTCTCATATATGTGTCTGTTGTCTGCGAGAACAACAGAACCGCAGATACGTTTCAGCTCGGCTTCAACACTTCATGAACCCGCAGACGTCTGGCCCTGAGCAGACAGAAGAGAAGATCCAAGAGAAGAGAAGAGCAGAAGAGAAGAGCAGAAGAGAAGATCCAAGAGAAGAGCAGAAGAGAAGAGCAGAAGAGAAGAGCAGAAGAGAAGATCCAAGAGAAGAGAAGAGCAGAAGAGAAGAGAAGAGCAGAAGAGAAGAGAAGAGCAGAAGAGAAGAGCAGAAGGAATAATGGGAGAGACTAGTCATCAGTCTTGCCCATTAGTCCTTCTGTCCTTCTGTCCGACTCACATGAACAACTTCTGAAACCTGACAGCAGCATCTAAACACATAAAACATGAACCATCAAAAACAGATGAATCTATCCATCCATCCACCCGTATTCTCATATTTCAGTTTCTCCAGTTCATTTTCTCGCTGCTAAAATATTCAGATTTATTTGAGCTTTCAATGGAGACAGCTATATTTTTGTCTCTGTCGATGTGCAGGAGCACTGTTAACTGAATCATAATAATACCCAAACATAATTTATATTTTACATATCGAAATTAATTCCTTTGTAAAGGACACTATTATTTGTATGAACAGCGCTTCACATTATTACAAAGTAACGCTCACACAAAGAAGTTCAAAGTGATTATGATAATTATCTTTAATGTTACACTGTGTTCTTTACGCGTGCCCCGCTCTCAGCCAATCAGCGCCGCCGCCCAGCCTTCACTCAAACGCCGCAGCCAATCAAAACGCGGCGTGACGTCAGCGCCGCAGTGAGAGAGGAGCGAGGGCGTGAGCGCGCAGAGCTGTTGCCGGATGAGAGATCAGAGCAGCACATTTCACATCGTCTTCATCATCCTCCGATTATTGATTGATTGATAGATTGATACGTCATGGAGGAGTACGAGCGCGCGCCCAAGCGCCTGAAGGTGTCCGCCGAGGCTGAGGATGAGGAGGAGCTGGAGGAAGGCGAGGAGTCAGACTCAGCATCCGCGGGGCTCCTGGGTGACGATGAGGAGGATGAAGGGCAGAGCAGAGCGCGCTGGAGCTCCGCGGAGAGGAAGGTCAGAGCCGCATCACTCTCGATACTGAGCACTAGCATCAGCATCAGCATCAGCATCATCTCACCATGCAGAGAACATCTATATATATATATATATTCATATTCATATTCATAGCGCTGGACTGACATGACACGCGTTTAATGCATGATGCCACAACACTGCAAAGAGAAAAAGAAAAGAGGAGAGAGAGGGAGCCAGAAAGATGATCAACAGGAAAAGTGCCGTTCAGTTTCAGTGATATATCTGTGACCCTGGAGCACAAAACCAGTCATAAGGGTCAATTCTTCGAAATTGAGATTCCCAAACCGACCACTTGACCACTTCTAATTTTCCTAAGTTTTAGAATTTTTATTAAACTAAAATGTGAGCTCATGCCCGTGGTAATCATCTGTTTTTAAGCATATTGTCTTTAGTTTTATCATCTGAACACATTGGCACTGTTCCTGTTTATGATCTTTATGGTTTTCCATGTACTAAATGCATGTAAATCCCGTGCTGTGAATATGAATCAAGCAGAAATACAAATGAAGAGAAGTCTCACATCTGAAATGTTGCGTATGAACGCTATATTTACGTTATCTATCACCATGGCAACACAAGCTGTCAGTCAATACATGGACACAAAGTAGCTCCCGTTACTCATTTGTTACTAAGTTCGTCTTCTGCTGCTGATTTTGTGGCTTTTATTACATTTATGAGTGCGAGTTACTTTGAATGAACGGCATATTAAGTATATGTGAATGTGTCCTCGGCCGTCAGACGTGTGATGCTTTTGTTTGTTTTTAATATGTTAAGCATCCAGTGTTTGTGAGGTCTGACGTACTGTACAAGTGTTCAATGCATGAACATTTGACCCCGTTTGCTTTATTAGTGCTCGTTCATGGCCTAATTATAATCGTTTGCATTTATATGCACCAGTATGACATTAAATAGTAATGTACATTTTACTAAAACATTTTAATATATGAAAAATATCACAACTGTGAACAACAGTCACATTGTTGAACTAGAATTTTAATTAATTAATTTGCATACACGAGATAATTGCACACTCAACATTTAAAGTAAGCATGAATTTATCATTCATAATTGACTTATTTTAACTTACTAGTACATGTTCCTGGTATTGCATGTGAAAATGTAGTACAAAGCATGTCTTTTTTTAATAAATGAACACAGAAGATTTCATCATTTTCATTTATTTGCATAAACAGTAATCTACTTTTTGTTAAAACATTTGTAAAATGTATAAAAAGCACCACATCTGTCAACAATGAATCAGAGTTTGTTCAGAATTTGAATGAATTGATTTGCGTACAAGATAACCGTGTTCTCTCAACATCTAAAGTAATCATGAATTTATCATTTATAATGGACCCTTTTAACTTCTTAGTACGTTTTGCATGTAAAAATCACAGTTAACGTAGTAAAAATAATCAAAAGCATGTTTTCTAACACAAAGAATGATACAGAATGAACAGTAATCTGCTTTTTACTAAAACATTACAAATGTTTCTGCAATGCCAGATCTGTGAACAGCGGCGCAAACACGTTTATTGAATCAGAGTTTCATCAGAATTGTAATAAGTCAGAGCATCAGTTTATTGCACATGCTTAATTTGACCTTGTTTCATATTGACTTTAATACGATCTTTGGAAACAGTGCAGTTATTTTTCTCCTTCAGTGATTTATTGACACGCTCTGTGATAGAACTGTGTGTTCACAGTCCAGACGAGACGTTCAGAAAGAGACACAGACATAATAGCTTCAGTATTTTGCCCGGGGCTCTGAGGAAACGCTCCTCTTGACCAGCTCTGATGATTTGAATACTAAGTGGCTTTTATTGGCTGATCTGAGCGATGATTGCACATGTACCTCCAGCAGACCTGAGCTGAAGCTCACCTGTGTCCCGTGGGGTTTATGGATATCTGCAGGCGTCACCTTTTACTGCCAGAGATACGCGGGGCACGACAATGAAATCAAACGCGCTCAGGTGGGTGGCAGCGGAGCGTGAGACGCTTTAATGGCTCGTGGGTGAGAGTGATACCAGATCCTTCTGGAATCAGTTTGCATCCATAATCTGCCCTCTTTTAATGTGTATGCAAATGGTCTGTCTGCCGGAGCGTCTCGGGTGGGCGGCGGCATCTCTGGAGTCATCTGGGATCTCAGCGGGATGATGGGAGACGAGCGGTTAAACAGGGTCACCTGACTCGCCCGACTGACAAATGAGCGACTGAATGTGTGTGGTGTTGATCTGCTCTGGATGAATTATGGGTTTTGATGAATGGCGTATCATAACATGCGCTGCTGTAACATTGAGTTTAAGGCAAAATGCTACAGAATGCACTGGAGATTTTGGTCTATTCAGTTACCATTTTGAAAACTATTGAATAGAACACATCTAGAATACACATTTAAGTGTTTAGTTTTTGCACGTTATGTAGTAGCGCCTATTGGTTTAAATTACAATGCATATCTTTAAAGGGGTCATATGATGTTGCTAAAAAGAACATTATTTTGTGTATTTGGTGTAATGAAATGTTTTTATGCGGTTTAAGGTTAAAAAAACACATTATTTTCCACATACTGTACATTATTGTTTCTCCTCTATGCCCCGCCTTTCTGAAACGCGTCGATTTTTACAAAGCTCATCGTTCTGAAAAGCGAGGTGTGCTGTGATTGGCCAGCTATCCAGTGCGTTGTGATTGGCCGAATACCTCAAGCGTGTGACGGAAATGTTACGCACCTCACCATACTGTGATGATGCCCTGTCCGGCCGGAGCGACGTCTATAATCTGAAGGTTTTTACCTAGGGGTTTGTGAATATTTCATTCACACTGATTTATACAACATTTTAGTCCTAAAACATGGTGAAAATGTATTTTTTCTGTCTGTTGACAGTATTTTCTGATTTATAGAGTGATAAAAAGAGAAATCCAAAATCCACTCAGTAAAAACCTTTAAAGGTGACATATCATGAAAATCTGACTTTTCCAGCTGTTAAGTGCTATAATCAGGTCTCCGGTGCATCTACCAACCAAGCAAACGTGAAAAAGATTAACCCAGTAACTTTGTTTTGGGAAGCCTTTTTCTGCAAGTGTCTGAGAAAACCAGCGCGTCTGATTTCGCTCCCTCTGTGACGTGACAAAGGCATCTCATTATAATATCACCGCCTCTTAATCTGTAAGTTTCCACCCAAAACATGCTAACTGTTCTGTGTTTGGCTGCACAGACGAGCACAGAACACTGTTTAGAGTCCCAGCCTCAGAGGAGACGACAGAGCAGTGCATTTATTGATTTATTTACTGTATATTGCTGCTGCCACACAGATCTAAAATAAACATGTGATTTATTTCCCAGCTGTTTACCTTCACAGACATAACCCACTGTTTTTGTAACTCGTGTGTGTAGCTTGTGTGAATGAGAACTTAGTTTAGTACTCGCATGCTGCGACAGCCGCTTTCTGTGCGTGTGCTTCAGATGTGTGCGCTCAGAAAACCCTATATCAGAAGTTTAAACTCATATGGTTTAAAACGCATGATTTCAGCGAGATAAACATGATAATCAGAACCAAAACAGATGTTTTTAGCAGGTCCGAGCTGTAATGACGCAGCTCTATTCTTGAAAAGGGGGCGGGGAGCAGCAGCTCATTTGCATTTAAAGAGACA